TTTTAATTAAAATATCTAATGTTAAGCTTTATCATGGAATAAAGTAATTAGGAATCTCGTATGTAACTATCATTACTTTTATTACTTAACATGGATTCAATGAATTTCTATTTTATCACATTTTAATAATATTTGTACGTTTCGTATAAATATCACTGTTTTGAGAGACGATATATTTTGAATTGCAACGGGAAAAAAAGGCAAAATTTTTCATATTTGTATTTATTTTTTTATTATTTTATCATTAAATCTCAGTGACAAAAGTATACATGCTTGTAAAGAGTTTATATAAAATTCTGCAATGTAAATATTCGAAATCTTTTATAAATTTTAACAAAAACAGACTAAAAATTCGATGTAAAAAAATCAACAAAAAAAAATTATGATACTATGCCGCGCAATAAACTCGAAGCGATAGTAACCCGATAGTTTTCTATAAAATAACATTGCTTTTGTGACATGTGGACATGTGTAATAATATTTTTATAACTTTATTTCCAGATAAATATACGAAAATGAGACAGAACAAAAAATCATCTTCGTAAAATAATGTGTCGATAAATTATGTCTTTTATTATCTATATTAGTATAGATCATCTTTTACTTATTCTCTTTACTGAAACTTGTGCTAAAGTTGAAGTAACTTCTCACATGTGCGAATATTAAATGCTGGTTTAAGACGTGTATTATCTCTTTTGTCTGCAGTCGTTATTTAATATGCAGTGAGGCAACAGGAGTCTTAATACTAGTTAAATGTCACACACTTTTGTCTAGAAATAATGCATAATGAAATAGAAAACAGGGATTGTACTTCCGACTTTAATATCAAAAAAATTAGAATAAGTGATGCAAATTCTTATACGAATACATAACACAAGCCGAATACATAACATATTACTCTCTAAGAGAATATTTTTTGGATTATGAACGATTAAAAATCTCATTTTATCAATTTTCTACAAAGTAAACTCGGTTTAACACAATTACAGCTTAATTAATATAATTATAATCAATTAATGTAAATATTAATAAACATTGACATAAATATAATATATTACGACGGATGTAAATATAGGAGTACCGTATTATATATATATAATCCGGAGGAAGAAAAAAGATTAAACACAATAATAGGAAACATAAATAATAGAATAAATTAAGTCAATAGTTATAATCTGACAATAATTGGATAAGTAACAAAAGACTCTCGATAATAAAATTAACAAGTGACAAGAGTAAAGAGGGGCTTTGAAAGTTCAAAACAAATAAGAAATAGTGACTTCAAAAAAGTAACTTCAAAATAGCATAATTTCCTGCGAGAAAATCCAAATAAAACTTGGCTAATGATCAGTTTATTATATAATCGAAATTAAAACGACAGTCATAACTTGAGCAGAAAGAGAAGTGAAGTGTCACTTACCCACCACCTCAGAGAGAACGCGAAAATAAGCATAGACTACTAAATTTTGAAGTTACTCACTTATTTCCCGCCGGAAAACATGAGATTTTGATTTAATTGTTACCGCATCGCTGAAGATGACTCAAAGCAGAGCCGAAACGGAGCCCGATTTACAATTATGGCTTCGTTCCGCGATATTCACTGCCTGTACTAAAAATCTATAGTTCACGTCACATACACTATAGATTTTCAGTACTGGCAGTGAATAACGGCACACAGTCTAAGTAGCCTATTAGTTATTAAAGATTGATATAACGTTAACTTACGCACCGCGTCTTAATCGCGTCTCAAAATTTCTTTTTACTTGGCACTCGTTAATTTGACATTAAGAGTTAATTACAAGTTAAGAAATCTGGCTTACCTCGTCGCATCCTGGCCGACAAAATCGATCTGCGTACGTGCCATTACAGCGTTTTGCTTCGCGGTCTCCCCCGGCGATCCCTGGTACTCACTTTGAACAATGTACATTAGGATGCTCATGACGAGGAATTTCGAGATCGCGGGTACAGACGAGAGACGCGGCGCGACATGACAGCTTGTCTCACTTTCGTTTTGCACGTTTTACACCACCGTCCCGTTAATTCGTCACCGATGCACTTCGCCGCGCGCCGCGGCGAGGTGTAGAATAATGATGGACGAAGTCGCCTTAATGAATTTCTTCCGCCGACAAGTATTACGGCGAGAGAAATAAGGCGAGCACGCCACTCACCAAGATTAAAATCTCCTCGTTTCTCTTCAACTGTCTTATTAGCGCGTCGGGACTCGCCGAATGCATATAGAACATTGGTGCATATTGCGTTAACGCGCACTGCGGTAACGGCGGATTTAATTGTTCGCCGCGTATAAATTTATTCCCCGCAATCACGCCGGTGAAGCGGTGTCGTTATCATATTTGTTATCGGGCACTGATCGTCATTATATATCACCATATCACGATGAAAATTCTGCATTAATTCATTGGTTATTGAGAGCCTCTTCTTCTCTTTCCTTACTTTCTTTAAACGATCGCACACGAGACGTTTCAATTCACACAGTTTTTCTGTCGGAGAAAACGCACGCAGGAATGATTAACGACGTAATAGAAAATTACGTCGTACCTCCATTATTACGTTCCGCACATTGTCCTTCGAACGTGATTATTTTCTTGGACGTAAGCGTTCCTTAAGCATCTCTTTTGCGCACTTTGCATCCGATGCAGTTGGCCTTGCAGTCACCGCAAATTTGTAGCGAATAATTTTGTCGTAGCACAATACTATTCAAAACGACCGATCTCAAGTAACGTACTCCATCAAATTTATGCGAGTAATTTATAAATTCAATGATGTAGCACCTAATATAACATTTTTGTGACATAAATTTCTTGAAAATGCTGAGACATTCTATCTTTATCACTTTTTGCCATTCTCCTACATTGAACTTCCACGTGATCGACGAACGTTTTATTAATATTTAAGTTAATATAAACTATTTTTATTTTTTGCCTAAAGTTTCAATTTACTCAAATTATAGAAAATTTTATTGTATATAAAATTTTCAAGACTTTTATGTCAATTTTTGGTGACGCAGAAAAGATTTATTGTTTTAGAAAAAACGCAGTTATAAAATTGTAATTAATAAATATCTAAATAAATATCAGATATAATAATAATTACGTACAAAAAATAAAAATCTTATAATTTTTGTTACATATTCCTAGCAAAGATGGAAAATAATCGTTTATGTAGCAATTAAAAATTTCTACGTGATTAGGTTAATGTTGTAAATTAAAATATGATTTTTTACAATCTTGTCAAAGATTACTTCAATGTGAGAATCTATGATTGCAATTTATGACTGCATGATCAAATTTCTCACTTATCAGCTAAGAGACGTGACAAGATGAGTGTTGCGATTATCGGTCAATACACAATTAGATAAAATACATATCTAATTGATAAATGGTATAAATATATGTATTAATTTTTTAATCTACGTGAAAGCGATAATATAATTATGATATAAGATTGCAATAATCTCAAATAGCCAGGAAATGAAAGAACATTTTCAAGAAAGTTAATGAATCTTCTATTAAATATCGAATCAATATATCAAACAAAAATTATGTGATTGATAAATCAGATTTCAAACAAAATGCTTAAGTTTTCATATTTTTTAAATCGGTATTGTTTTATCAGTTTTGTCACGAAATAGTGTCAAAAAGCAAAATTTAGCGCGATCATGTGACAAACGACAAACGCACTTTCGTGATGTATTAAATCGTAAAAATTTTTTATATTCCTCTCAGAGAGGATTATAATGATGGCTGAAATCGTGAAATAAAAAATCGTAAAATAAAAATTCGGACTGTGACTATATAGACACTGACGATTAACGAATGCAATTTATACCTGTCGCACATCAAGCTGGTATTTTTACGGCACGATAGTCTCGAATTTTGTGTTCATCGACCAAAAATATCAATATGACTGAATCGAATAGGATTGCAGTTGCCGAAAGCCTCACAATTCTCTCGACATGACGGTACGTATATAGATATATTTTATTTGCGTGCGGGATAGCGTCGCGACGATGAGTTTCGCTGTTTCGCGCGGCACTGAGGAGCGCCGGTAGCTCATTCATCGTCGGCACCCCCGTGAACGCACGCCAACGATGTCGCGCAGGCGTTGCACCCTCGTCGTTGCTTGTCCTTCGGTCTCCCGGTGGCGTCGCGACGCGTCATCCCGCTGTGAAGAGGACACCGAGAAAGAAATCGAGAGCTCTCGCCACCCGCGTTTTCTATGGAGTGGCGCGCGAAACGACACGATCAAAGTGGCAAGCCGTGATGATTTATCGCCGCGGCGTCCCCGTATGAAAAAGGCGAGTCAGAACGGTATTCGGTCACGATTTATGGAATCCGAGCGAGCAAAATTTCTCCGCCGCGTTAACAACTCGACGTGGAACGTCATGTTTTGTCTCGCAAAAGTGTAGAGGATTGGAGTAGAGCAATAAGAACCGGGGGAGAAATCAAGTTCGAGAACCCCCTTCGCGCGAGCGGAAGGTCCGAAACGGAGCTAAAAACCAATGTGATATTTACCCTTGATTTTTGCACACGAGAAAACTTAGCTGTCATTTCTTCGCTGTCGGCATCAATAAAGAATTCAGAACGCGTAATCTTTTCGCAATAAATTTGCATGTAGTTTCTTTTATCTTTATGTAAAACAGAAAAGAGTTTCAATAACAAGAATTATAGTATGTTTCTAATTGCCCTATTAATCGCTTTGCACGCGCTTAGTTATCTCAAAATTAGCTCAATAAAATCCGAAACGATCGCAAGATATCGCAGATAACTAGTTGTAATGTTACGGTATCATAGATTCACAGATACATATTATAAACGAATTAATTTAATGGATGTATTCGCGTTATCGTAACTATTACATAATAAATAATCGAAATTCAGTTATCTCGTTGCCCGTGGCGAAGTCTTGCGTGAGTTTCGCTTAATATAACGGTCATCTCTCCCCTCTCTGAGCAATACGCTCCCGTTCGCGGTAGACGGCGGAACTGCGGAAGGAGAAACAGAGCTCACAGAGCCGTCGTTCTTAAACAGTCTGCGATATCGCAAGTTTAAACTCTATTCCGACGTGGCACTATAACTCCGACGAACATTCGTGTATAGCGTGCGGCTTAAGCTGGTTTCACATCAGTTATATCATAATTGTGCAGCGGTTGAACCTTCCTTTTCGCAAGAATGACTCGATCGGAATATTAGATCGCGATTTGCGAGTGAGAAATTCAATTTCAGGAAAGTGTATTCAAAGTGTTTCTATGCCAAGTTTATCATTTATTTTTGTTTTGAGTATCACAGTTCACTCAGACCTCGACTCAGACAGAGTCAGAATCTAACATATATGATTTTTTTCTTTATATTTCTATGAACTGAAAACTGAACTCCGACTTGGATATCTCTGTGTTGCAATATTTTGTAGCTCCATTGTGAAATGGACTTTAAGATAAGCGATAAGCCCCGGCTTCTGTGCATTCCCATCGCCGGTCGCGATTAATTATATTAGACAATGATCTATCTAATAAGATAGATCGATGTCCGGTGATAATCATATAAGCCGCGTTTACATAATGTCGATCTGACAATACAGTAATATACTATTACTTCGGGGGATTTACAGTGCAGTCGAATGCAGTGAGTCGGCATGAAACATCTGTCAGTGGAATCACACGTTTAGTACATGATTGTGAGTGTGCGCTGTGTGTGTTCTGTGTAGAATAAAAAACCTGTTCAGTCAACGTTATACTCCATTAAATCAGCTCGCCTCTTCTTTTAAATCGTAGTTTATATAATATACAGAGAAAAACATTTTTTATTAATTGCTACGGATATTTTATATATGTTATAGTACGTGAAATACGTATGTATAAAAATTAGAGCTTATAATTTAATTAAAAATAATAAAGTAATTCGAGCTAAAATTGAAATCGACAATCATTTAAAAATTTTATGATTTATTGAATTAAATAAAAAAAATTGATTGATTGTATTGAAACCACATTGAAGTTTCAAGTGTGTAACATATCAAAGTAATTAAATTTTTTAAATATTTTTTTTTTATTAGTTCCTTTTCATACTTTACGTCAATCTTCTTAATTTATATGTCATATTATTTGTTTACTTCTTACTGCAATGTATGAATCGATAAAGTGTTTATTATAATTATAATTATAACACTGCAGCAAGTTAAATTCAGATGTCATGTTTTATTCATTTTTGTAACAAATTTAAACGAATACGCTCTGTTTATTATATGACACTGCTGTAAAAGTTAATGATTGTTAATGCTAATTGCGACGTCGAAATAGTCTAGAGGTTATCATCCATTTTCAGAACAAATTGTACGGAATTGTTGTGACAACACGTGTAATTTATCCGCACGATCGAAAGCGGATATATTATTGGATTAAAGCGGGACGATTTACGGTGCAAAAGAGAATAAGCAAAGAAATTCGGATTGTGTAGAACGATCAGATTGCAAATAGAGCGGCTTATTTTCCCCCTTCCTCTCCCGCGCGCATTTTTCTCGTCAAAAGTGGATTACATCGCTCTGCACGTGCAGATTTGGAAAGCTAGCGAGTCTCGAGGAACCCGTGTTATTCTCGCTATTTTGTTGTGTCAAGATCTCAATTGAAGAACTAAGTGGATGAGTAAGTGATATGTTATAAGTTAATGACTTGAGCGAAAATTGAATCCATGGAATTTTAAACAATATTAGTCCACTGAATAAGGCGTTCAAAGTACAGTTTTTTCGGTATATTATTTTTCTTCACTTATTAGTAACTCAATTGTTTTTCGCGTAATGCGTTAGATATCAACAAATTTCTTTCTCTTTTTCTACGCACTATACTTTGAAATTTAAAAGTCTGTAAAAATTAATCAATTAGCAATTTAACTTATAGAAAAACTAAAAATAGAGAGTAGAGTTTAAAAATAATAATACAATTTAGAGTTAGATTGTTCTATTTTAAATTTATAAAATTGTATAATCAGAATAATATAAAATGAGATTACTGCTGTTGTTTAGAAAACTATTATGTTAAGAAATTAATCAATTTTTATTTCTTAAAGAAAATGAATATTTGTATAATTAATTAAATAATTCACTTTACATAAGAAAAGAAAACTTTAGATATAATGTATTAATAGAGATAACTAATATTTTTAATTAATGTATTCTTTTAATAAACTAATTTTTAAAAATTCCACGAAGAAGAATGTTCGCACAAAAACATCTAAGAAAAAAAAAAGAAAAAGACTGATCACACCTTGTCTTACTCAACGTCATGAGTAGCCGCGGTAAAGTCGCTTGCATCGCGAAAAAAATAAGGCTAAATCTGCTTTCAGTGGCCAAATGGTATGAGAAAGATAAATGCGGCAAGTATGTTGTGCGAAGATTGCCGATTCTCTCCTGGCTGCCGCGATACAGACCCGCGTGGATCTTGCAGGATGCATTGGCTGGCATCACGGTCGGTCTCACCGCCGTTCCGCAAGGGATCGCTTACGGTATTGTCGCCGGTTTAAATCCCGAGGTAAAAATAAAAAAACAGAGCGACTGCCGCATCAATCTTGTATCGTATCCTGCCGCAACACATATATAGATAAACGTTTCTCTGTTACAAGTTTCAGAGAGATAAAACGGAATTTCTGAGAGTAACTCTGATTGTGAGAAAATAAATCGAAGAACAAAAAACAAGTCCGTTTTCAGCACGACTCAAGAATACTTTTTGTTTAATTTAAATCAAAGTATTATTTAAAAAAGCGTTATTTTTTAAGTAATATTACAATTTTGTTTAATTTTTAAGGGAGAATATATATATTTCCTTAAAATACATTGCTTTTGTATCTGCTAATGCCGTTTAATCAATATTTGCGTAACTCGATACATGCACGATTATTAATTAATTTAAATGATATCTTTTTTAAATATAATTTCTCTGTAATTTTATGATCTTACAGTATGGACTGTACGCAGCATTTATGGCATCATTTATATATATCATTTTTGGTTCATGCGAAAACATCACTATTGGTCCAACAGCCATTATGGCTACCATGGTTCAACCATTGGTCGCAAAATATGGCGTTGACATGGCTATACTAATTGCTTTTTTGAAAGGATGCATCATTGCGCTTTTAGGAATTTTACACTTAGGTGTGTATTTTTATATATTCTAAAGTAAAAGATATATATGTCACAGATATATATAAATTTAAAAATAATTTATAATCACGAAATATTGCTGTTGCATAAATGCATCCTTTCTGTTTCTTTCCAAGGCTTTTTATTGGACTTTATATCGCTTCCTGTAATTACTGGCTTTACATCAGCCGCGGCGATCAACATAGCGTCTTCCCAATTTAAGTCACTCCTGGGCATTCCTGGTAGAGCCGAGAGTTTTCTGGATGCTTTGATAGCAATCTTTAAACATCTTGATCAGATTCGATATCAAGATACATTGTTGGGAATTGGTACAATCGTTGTGTTAGTTTTGATCAAGGTATAAATTCCATCAGAACAAGCAAAGGCACAATTTTGATTTTTCTTTAAAAATCGAAAGTTTAATTTTCGTTCCAATCAAATTTTATATCTCGAAAAAAGCAATAATTCTGTATAATAGAAGGGAATTATTTATTTGTATTTTTTCCAACTATAGAATATACCAGGACGGCGTACGGGAACAACCTTGCAAAAAATAGGATGGCTTCTTGGTCTGTCTCGCAATGCGTTAGTCGTAATTGTAGGCACTGTTATGGCATATATTTTTTCCACTAATGGTCTAAACCCTTTCACATTAACGGGTGAGTAGATAAATCATTTAATATTGGTGTTTTTTTAAATTATGGTTACATAATATTATAGAATTTGTTCTAAAACAGGCTTTGATAACCAAACGCAGCAATTAATCACCAAATAACTTTAATCAATTATCTTTTATTTGACGTTTCTCTATGAGTTCCAAACTTATGGAATTGAGTTTAGAAGATTTATCGTAATATCGGTACGCGTTGTGGAATAAATTCATGATAATAAATTTTGTTGCCGCCGATTAATTTTCGAATTTTGCACCTTCAATATTTTCTTTCGTATTGAGAATTGAGATCGATTTTTTAAATATATGCTTATTGGCGTCAAAATTGCTCGAGATTAATTCACAAACTTTTAAGTTATTATTAATATTTATCAGTTATAATATCCATTTTTTGGAACAAAGCTCAATGTTATACAGTAATTACAATAAAGAATAATTTTCTGTTTGCTCAAATCGCGGAATTGCTCTCGTTTCAAGATTTTGATGATGTATTGTTAAAAAAAGATCTCTGGCTTTATATGGACAGATATCACGAGAAAATATATATTTCACACAGCGGGTTGCATGAAACGAGAATAACAAACAAAGCGTTTCAGGCACAATGGGGCAGGGTTTGCCACCGATCGCACCTCCGCCGTTTTCCACTACCTTTCAGAATCAAACGTATAACTTTCTGGAAATGACTACCGCAATGGGAACGACGCTGTTCACGATACCGATCGTATCAACTATCGAGCACATAGCCATTGCGAAAGCCTTCGGTAATTAAGTTTTTGTCATTAAATTACTGCTATCGCTTTCATACAATTTCGGAGAGTAAAAGCTTTATAGCGAAAGAGAATTTTTCGTATGAAATGTCACTACGCATTTCTGCGTCACGCTTTTACTTTAAAAAGTGTGATTTTATACTACTATAACTTTTAGATTTTAGAACATTGTTATTTTTGATTGATACGAAGCAGAATCCAGACGGTTCTAGGAAGAAATCTCCCCGGAAAAATCCTCCCCGGAAATAAGTTCCCGGGAAAATCTCCCCGGAAAAAATCTCCCCCGGAAAAAATCTCCCCCGGAAAAAATCTCCCCATCCAAAATTTCAGTACTACTGTATTTCACACAACTAAGCACACAACTCACACTCCTAACGCTGCAGCAGTTGAGACAAAGCGCGTTGTTGCAAAATTACGGAAGAAAGCGGTGACAAGCAAGGAAGCATCATCGTCGTTAGTGGCCGTGGAAAGTGTATGCGTGAACTATTTCGGGACTACCGCACCTTCCCCGAAAGCACGGGGGGTGTGCGTGAACCTCGTTTCGCGTGACAGTGTATGCGTGGAGGCAGTAGGTTCCGCCCCCCTGCGGGGGGCTCCACTTTTATTAAACTATACACATAGTGTGCCTTGCAAAGTACGTGCGTGGGCTTTTCACACGTGAAAAGTTGTAAACTCATGTGGCACCTCGGTTTTTGCTGGGCACGGAAATTTTTTCCGGGGGAGATATTTTCCAGGGGAGATTTTTTCCGGGAACTGATTTCCGGGAGATTTTTTCCGGGGAACAAAACGTCGGTTACGAATCCAGACC